CATTTCTAAGATGCCTACCATGTGGTCTTGGTGTTGGAGGTATGGAGGTAAGAGACCAGTTCCTGCTCTCAGGCTTTATGCAGTGTCCAAGGGCTATATCTGGACTCACCAAGGGTATAGGACATGGTGACAGGAGGTAATAAAAAAGCATTGCTCCAGCCTGGGACACATCAGAAAGAACTTCCAAAAGGGGAGAAGTAGAGCTAAGTCACAGGGAATGCTTGGTCAAAGGCTGAAGGCATGGGAAACATCATTCCAGAGAGACAGTTCATAAGTAAATGACGAGGGTAGAGAGAGCATGAGGTGCATGATATCTGGACTCACCAAGGGTATAGGACATGGTGACAGGAGGTAATAAAAAAGCACTGCTTCAGCCTGGGACACATCAGAAAGAACTTCCAAAAGGGGAGAAGTAGAGCTAAGTCACAGGGAATGCTTGGTCAAAGGCTGAAGGCATGGGAAACATCATTCCAGAGAGACAGTTCATAAGTAAATGACGAGGGTAGAGAGAGCATGAGGTGCATGGAGCAAGTAGAAAGGACCATTGAAGACAACTTTCCCATGGGAATGTCATGGCCAAACATGGTTCTGGAGCACAGCCTTTTCTCCTAGGGCAGTGGAAGCACTGGGGGACTTTGGCCAGAGAACTAATGATTGAATTTATGCTTTGGAAGGACCACTATATAGAGGATTCAGTACGGAAACAGGCTGGATGAGGGGTGTCGGGGGTAAGGAGACATCACTGTAAGGTCTGCAATGGTCCAAGAAAGTGGCACTAATGACTTGACAAAGTATCTTTAGAGATGGGGAGCATGCATTTGAAAATATTTGTGAAATAGAATTGTCAGGACTTGATAATCACTATTTATCAAGGACAGGAAATACAGAGGCCCAAAGATGCCTCTAAGTTACGGAAACAGGCTGGATGAGGGGTGTCGGGGGTAAGGAGACATCACTGTAAGGTCTGCAATGGTCCAAGAAAGTGGCACTAATGACTTGACAAAGTATCTTTAGAGATGGGGAGCATGCATTTGAAAATATTTGTGAAATAGAATTGTCAGGACTTGATAATCACTATTTATCAAGGACAGGAAATACAGAGGCCCAAAGATGCCTCTAAGTCTTGGTCTTTAAAAGCTGGATTTGCAATGATTTTGAGCCAAGGAACTAGAAGGCATTGGGTGAGTAGTTATGCTCTCCCTCTGGTAAAATGAGAATAAAGAAACAGCAGAGATGGTGGAAGCCAGCGAGGGCAAGGCAATTAAGGTGGAGAAGGAAGGAGGTGAGGTTAAAGAAGGGTCTAAGATAATTCAGGAGTGGGGGCCAGACAGGTCTTATTAGCAAACAGAAACAAGGTTCAGAGGGAGCAAGGACATTTAGTTTACAACTCTTGAATCACCTGGGAGTCAGAGGCAGGCGGATCTCTGTGAGTTCAAGGCAAGCCTCCTGGTCTACTTAGTGAGTTCCAGGACAGCTGGGGCTACAACCCTGTCTCAAAAAGATCAAATACATACATACATACATACATACATACATACATACATACATACATGTGTGCGTGTGTGTGTGTATCCAGAAAGAGAAAGCTTCTAGTCTAAAGATCATCCATCTAACTAATTGCCTGCAAGGTCAAGAAACAACCCAAGGCTTCTGCCTCCCAGGCTGGGGCTTTAGCTAATGACCACAATGTGGAAAAAAACACTTTTTTAAAAATGAAGAAAATACATCTTAAAAATTAAAAGTGATTAACAACCACCTCCTTCTCCACAAACCCAGGGGTCTGTTATCATTCATAGCTATGAAACCAAGGCAAATATGAAGGCTGCAGAAAATCTCTTATGATCTTGACTCTCATACCTGTGGTATCAAGAAAGAAATCAAGGCAGATAGGCCACCCAAGGCCACAGACAAGGCAGAGAGAGCCTGAACACCTCTAACACCGTGGATCTCTTCATTCTGTATCTGTGGCAGATGGGACCCTTAACCCTTTTTCATGCCATCCTCACTCCAAACTTGGCTTGATGTGACGCTGCTGCAACCTCCATTGTCCTAACAGAAACTTTAAACAGCCAGCTATCCACTCAGCCCTTGACTCTTCCCAGGTTTGCGGGGTCTAATGATTGCTGTCATCATGGCTGCCCTCATGAGCTCACTCACCTCCATCTTCAACAGCAGCAGTACCCTCTTTGCCATTGATGTGTGGCAGCGCTTCTGCAAGCAGGCAACAAGAGCAAGAACTGATGGTAGTAGGCAGGTGCACTGACCCATCCTTTTGTCCTTCCAGAGCACGTTCTTCCTAAAGAATTTTCTCCCTTCATCTCTTCCTTCTTCCTGGGAAGAATGACTGGTTCAGACCCCAGACTGGCAGTCATAACACTGGGATCTGCAGCTGACTTTCTATATGCCCTTTTGTTAAGCCCCTCCCTGCTCTGCACTCCCTCTTCAGGATAATAGGAAGAAAAATCTATTCTCTGCGTATTTAACTATCTCTTGGACTGAACCAATAGAGTAAGAGATGATAACAACACATGTGAGCAATACCAGGTGAAGTTTAAATGGGAAAAGCATCAGCCTAGCTCACCCACCGCCCCTGGGGTCTTTTGGACCAGCTTTGGGTATTATTCCAAGATAATGGGAATAATAATAAATCTAATCTGCCAAACATGCTCCCAAATATACGCTTCATATTTGTAATGCAAGCACAAACCTAGCTCACCCACCGCCCCCTGGGGTCTTTTGGACCAGCTTTGGGTATTATTCCAAGATAATAGGAATAATAATAAATCTAATCTGCCAAACATGCTCCCAAACATACGCTTCATATTTTTAATGCAAGCACAAAGAAGAGTCAGCTAACGCAATTAATCTTAAATATCAAGCTATAGAATTTGAACATTACCTTGTATGCAGTAGTTTATGCTTAAAGCACAGCTTGGTGCGTAATTTTTCTTATTCTTCATAGGCTGGGGATTTATAGTTGATATATGGTTAAGGGGCCCTTTCTGAAATTTCTGCTTCATAATTTAAGATTCTAATACAGACTTCTGAGTTAAAAGGCATATTCCCACCTCTCTGGTGGATAGGTGTGTTGGCCTAGATATCGCATTGTTTATACTCACTGTGCCTTTCACCTAGGTGCTTCTTGCCGTAATAGACACATACACCTTGTCCATCTGTGCTCACCCAGGAACTGACCAATATAACATCTAAAAGTAGCACAGGGGATGTGCAGCAAGAAGGACACATGGGTAGTTACTGCTCGGATGGGGCCTGAGGAAAGGTAAATGGGAGTGAAAAGAGAAGAGGACAAGCACCCTTGCAAAAAGCAGCACCACTTGTCTTAGGACAATTGCCCAATTTTGCTGTCAAATTGTTCTCAATCAGTGTGTTTTTAGCTTTATCACCTGGTCATATGCATTATTGCATCCAACACATCCAAGGAAAGTTTTTCATCAATTTGTTCATGTATTTATAAGATAAGACATAAAGAATGCTTTGGGGACTTTGGCCTGAGTGAGGATCAGTTGAGAGGGGGGCAAGAGAAGAGGTGGAGAAGCGTGTCAGGGTGAGCACAGAGAAGGGCACTGCTCAAACAAGGCTGAGTACACAGGAAAGATACCCTCAGCAGAGACACACCTTTGGCTGTGTGGATGGTGGGCAGAAGGAATGGGTTAGTCATTTATCAGTGGTGGGTGGCACAACTTTGAAGCCATTCAATATATAAATACTGAGTTTTTAGAAATATGCATTTTTTAATTATGAAATTCCAATTTCTAGTATTAACTCTAAACTCCTACATCATAGAATTTGAGATTCTAACCTTCTGCCCTTCTCTGGCCCAGGGACCATTCACCTGTCTACTCTTCCTTCCTGATTCCTATGCCTCACACCACTATACCCATGTGCTTTCTCTGCAGGATGTTTGTGGTATTTCTGGTGGTCATCAGCATCCTCTGGATCCCTATAATTCAGAGCTCCAACAGTGGGCAGCTCTTTGACTACATCCAGTCTGTCACCAGCTACTTGGCCCCACCTATCACTGCCCTTTTCTTACTGGCCATCTTCTGCAAAAGGATCACAGAGCCTGTGAGTGCAGCATCCCTGTTTCTTCTCACACAACAGAGGTTGTAGATGAAGTTCTGTCACTCACTTTGTCTCTGGAACCTTGGGCAACCCCTCTTGGCTTTCACCTCCTTCCCATAGCATCAGGTCAAGATTATTTCACTCACCTAATAAACAGTGTAAGCGTTTACAAGGTTTACATAGATCCACCATGGTGGATAGGCAGGGAAGAGAGATGACCAAATAAGCAATGATAGCAAAGGGAAGTGGTATACAGGGGAGTTAAAAAGCAGTGAAGAGGCTCCTGGGAGAGGGAGAAGTAACAAAGTAACATGTGAGGATTAGTGATGTGAGAAGTGACATGTAAAGGATTAGTGGTTGGGAAAGAATGTGCTAGACAAAAGAGACTGTGTGAACGTGCAAGACAGTTTGAGGTTCTCCAGGCTCTGTTCCATTTCTAACCCTGTAATCATCCTGTAACGTATGTGTAAGCCAAAAAACAGTAAGGACAACAGTGATGATTCTGTGTGAGCTCATGGGGGTGCTTCACGCACATCCTTCCTGTTAACTGCACTGAAACATGACAGAAATGTAGGAAGAAGATAGAGGTGATGGGTTGGGAACCTTGACTACATCCCTGAATAGAAAAGGCATGTCAAAATCTGCTGGACAAACCTTGAGGAGTTAAAGAACATCATGGCCAGAACTCCCCACAACCAGTATAAGAGCTCAATGCCCTGACAAAGGATGTCAAAGTTACCTTTTCTTTGATGCCTCCTAAAAGCAGGATATCTACTACTTGCAGAGGTCTAATCTTGCTGATGACAGCAGTACACTGCCAAACCCAGTTGAATTATGGATACTCTTGTTTACTCTAGAGTGTTGAAGTCAGTCATATCATTTTAAAAATCTGTTATTTGTCTCATACACACTAGGAACAGGTACAGATTAAGGACAAATGGAGCTATAATTAATGGGCGGACCCAGAAACTTTATTTTTTCAAAAAGTGGGCTTCTGTTCTAATTTCTGATTCATCATAACAGAAATTTGATAAAGGACTCTGGCATTCTTTGCATAATAGAAAAATGTGCATTCTATTCTAGTTGAACATTGAGCCTCTGTGACAGTATTTACTAGTTTCCCTTTTTGTTGCACATAAGAAAACTCTGAGCCAGCATACTCAAGTCAGTGGCTTCAAGTCATTTATTTCTAGTGGAGCCGTGATCTCAACCCTAGTGCAGCTCTGAAGTCTACACCAAACATTTCCGTACATTATTCTGCCTGTCTTTTTTAAGTCAGGAATGGGGAAGTCACTAAATGGACTTTCCAAACACGAATAAACCAGTGAGAGGGAGATGTGGGAGTAGTGTCTCTTAGCTTTGAGGGTCTTCCAACCTCCTACCAGTTTTACCCTGACTATGACTGTCTTCTGTCCTTAGGGCGCTTTCTGGGGCCTCATGTTTGGCCTGGGAGTAGGCCTGCTGCCTACTCATACCCTGCCCCAGCATGCGGGGAGATGGACAGGAGGCCAGCTGTTCTGAAAGACTTTCACTACCTGTACTTTGCTCTCCTTCTCTGTGGACTTACTGCCGTTGTTATTGTCACAGTCAGCCTCTGCACAGTCTCCATTCCTGAAGAAAAGGCAAGAGGCATGCCCAGACTGAGGCCCCTGGAAATAATACCCCTACTACTAATGCCTGGAACCCTACCAGGAATTTTACTCTGTTAGGTTATGTATGGTCTCACATGTTCACTGTCTTATGAATTCCCAAGTGAAAAGGAACTCATTCAGTTCAGTTACTCAGTGACTATCCACTGTGTGTCAGGTACTAGGCTGGGCTTGCAAAGATGAATGGTCCCTGCCAGCAACTGTTCCAAGGGAGATAGATGCCAACACACACTGTTTACAGAAGGACTAGGTTCAAGGAGAGAGGCCAAGGACAGAAGAAGAGGTGGTCTCCACTAGGGTCCAGGAGCAGGTACACTGGCAAGGACTCTCTAAGTTGGATGTTGGAAGAGAAGTAGAGATTTTTCTTAATGGTTGAGGGGGAAGCACAAGAGAAAAGAACCAGACAGCTTGCAAGATTAAGAGCTCAGCCCCACTCTCCCAAGCTGACTGACTCCCCAGCCGCTACATGCTGATGAAAAATACCCATGGAAATCTTTCTCCCTCTAGAGTCTTACTAGTGTTCTAAGGCCACCGTAGCTATCTACCACTGCTTGGGTAGCATAAACACCAACAATGTACCATCTCCAAATTCTAAAGGTTGGAAGCCTGAGATCAAGAAAACAGCAGGATTGTTTTCCTCTGAAACCTCTCTTTGTGATTGTTTAACTCCATCTTCTCCCTATGTCTCCGTGTGAAGTTATACTCTTTCTTATTTTTTATTTATTTTTATGTGAATGAGTGTTTTTCCTGTATGTATATAAATGCATCACATAGGTACAATGCCTGCAGAGACCAGGAGAGGGTGTCACATCCCCTGGAACTGGAGTTATGAATGAGAATGGTTGTTAGCTACCATGTACATGCTAAAAACTGAACCCAGGTCCCCTGGAAGAATAGCCAGTGTTCTTAACTACTGAGCCATCTCTATAGCTCTGTGTAGTTATATTTTTAGGTACTGAGAGCTAAAACTTCAACATAGGAAGTTTGAAAGGCACAATCCAGCCTCTAACAGGCCTATGGCAGAAGTTGAACATGGAACATTAAAAGTCGCTCTCACCTGTGTGGTTCCTGAGAGCTTGAAAAATGGCCTTACAGGGCTGGAGAGATGGTTCAGCAGTGACAAGCACTGACTGCTCTTGCAGAGGACCCAGGTTCAGTTCTTAGCTCCCTCACGGTGATCAGCAACTCTCTCTCGGTAACTCCAGTTCCCAGGGATCCATGCCCTCTATTGGCCTCCATGAGCATTGCAGAGGACCCAGGTTCAGTTCTTAGCTCCCTCACGGTGATCAGCAACTCTTGGTAACTCCAGTTTCCAGGGATCCATGGCCTCTATTGGCCTCCCTGAGCACTGCATGCATGTGGTATACTTACATACCTTCAGACAAAACACTTACATATAAAATAAAAATGAATTAGTTTCTTAGAGTGCTAACAAACAAAAGAGGCTCCCACTGAGGAGCAAGGGAGGCTAGCTCTCCCCATGGCCCCCTCCAGCACTCATCTCCTGCTACTGAGGCCTTAGCTTCTCTTTTGCCTGACTTCTCTTTCCTTACACCAAGGCAAATCCCAGTTAGAATTCATCCCTGGATGTCCTCTACTTATTTCTGCTTCCTCTTCCTCCTCCTCTCAACAAGCTTTTGACATCTCCTGCTACTGAGGCCTTAGCTTCTCTTTTGCCTGACTTCTCTTTCCTTACACCAAGGCAAATCCCAGTTAGAATTCATCCCTGGATGTCCTCTACTTATTTCTGCTTCCTCTTCCTCCTCCTCTCAACAGGCTTTTGACAAGAACAGTCTCCAGCCCCAGCCTCCACTTCCTACCTACTTCTTCTCAATCCACTGCTGTCCCAGTCACTGTCATCCCCAGAATGTCACTCATAATCTTGTTGATAAAACAACCACTTCTTTGTCACTCTCTTACTTAAGTGAATTCTGAGACTAGATAGTACTGACCACTTCCTAAACCCAGAAGACTTCTCTTCTAGTCACTTCTGACCTGTTTCTCTCCTGTTTTGGTTTTTGTTCTGTTATTTTCCAAATTCTCTATGGGCTTCTCTTTCTGTCATTTAAAAATTACTCCTTAGAAGGTAATCTGCGACATATAACCCTTCTCACCCTTACAATGTCTCTGGACTATGAATTCAACAGCTTTCTATGATACACAATTCTGTCTCTTGCCAAACACTGTCTCAAGACTCAAACTCAAAATCCACAGATTCCTGGTGACATGAAGAGATGATGTCTGCATGCTATTAGCTATGTACAATCTTAAGTATAAAGTAAAATGTATAGAGAGATATGGATGAGCAGAGAACTCTCTCAGGCCTTTATGATCCCAAACAGAAACACCCTTGGGCCTGGCACTGCAGACCACATAGTAGAAAGTAGACAGTGGAACAGGGTGGGTGATACCTGGCTCTGTATGTAACAGAGATGCCTGGGAAGGGGAAGAATCTTGTTAAAGGCGACATTCAGAGTCATGTCATAAGGTTGAGTCTAACACCATTGATATCAGCTGAGAAGCTGCTATGCTTAGTCCTCTGGATCATAAAGAAGGGAGAAGAGGGGGCTGATGAGATGGCCCAGTGGTTAAGAGCACTGGCTACTTTTGCAGAAGATGGGGGTTTAGTTCCCAGTATCCACATGGCGACTAACAGCCATCCTTAACTCTAGTTCCAGAGGATCTGATGTACTTTTCTGACCTCTACAGGCATTGTACAACATGGGTTCCCTTATACACATAATTTTTTTAAGGTGCCAGACTGATGCAACTGCATGTCGAGTAACCATACCTGGAGGCCAATACCTATGTGGACACAGGAACTAAAACTCCCTCTCTCTCTCTCCAAGCTCCTGTTTTTTGTCTTCAGTTCCTGGGAGGGAGCTCAATTAGCTATATCGTCATCCAAGAAGTAATTGAGAGCCATGGTAGTCTCTCTCCTCTTCCTCACTTGATCATTCCATAAGTTACATCCTGTAAGTTTTGGTCTCCTAACATCCCCTAAGGGCTGGGGAGGTAGATCCATGATAGAACACTTGCCTAACATGCACAAGGCCCTAGAGGTCTGATGGCAAGCACTGCAAACTAAATAAATAAATAATAAATAAATAAATAATAATAAATATGTAATAAATAAATAAATGAATAAATAATTAGGCTTTGCCTTTCAGGTATCAACTCCTCTGCTTGACCTTCAAAGTTTTTTATTTTATTTTATTATTTTTTTTTATTTTCTGTGTATGCGTGCATGTACACAAGTGCACCTGTGTCATACAATGCCCGCAGAGGGCAGAAGAGCACATTGGATGCCCTAGAACTGGAGTTTTGGACAGCTGGTAGCCACGATGTGGGCACTGAGATTCAAACCCAGGTCTTCTGCAAGAACAGCCATTTCTCTTAAGCGCAGGTATCAACTCCTCTGCTTGACCTTCAAAGTTTTTTATTTTATTTTATTAATTTTTTTATTTTCTGTGTATGCGTGCATGTACACAAGTGCACCCATGTCATACAATGCCCGCAGAGGGCAGAAGAGGGCATTGGATGCCCTAGAACTGGAGTTATGGACAGCTGTTAGCCACGATGTGGGCGCTGAGATTCAAACCCAGGTCTTCTGCAAGAACAGCCATTTCTCTTAAGCTATGAGCCATTTCCCCAGCCCAGTTTTTATTTTATGGTCAGGCACCTCCTTCCTGTCTAGCTTTGTTTCCCTCAGTTTGAATGTCAAGAGCTCCAAGAAGCTAGGGAATTCCTGACTCAGATCTCTAATCCAGCACCCAGCCTAAGTCTGTCAGAAAATAGGTATTCAAGGAAGATTCACATTTGAAGAAAGGGGCAAACAGGGCCAAGATGCCAGTCCCTGGCCCACAGTTTCACCTTGTTCTTTACCCTCATTGCTGTTGCTCTGACAGCCTCCCATGGATGAGATCTCTTTCTACAGCAGAACTTTCCTCCAGAGGCTCTGGTTTCAAACTGAGTTTCTTTTACCTCCAGCTTGCTCGCCTGACCTGGTGGACACGTAACTGTCCCCTGTCTGAGCTGGAGAAGGAGACCTGTGTGAGTGTGAAGGAGGAGAAGGACAGCACTCCAGAGCTGGCAGACAGCCCAGCTGGGGGATGCCCTGAAGAAGGTGGAGCAACAGCAAACTTCAGCCAGGAGCCTGAACAACTAGGAGGTAGGTTAAGTGCATGCTGGAAGTCCATGTCGCAGAGGAGTAGATGGAAAAGACACTATGCCAAGGACTCCCCAGGGTCCCATTTGGGAGTAGCTGAGGATGTAAGCCTCAGTCACAACCATCCTTTCACCTTCCATGTGATTATTGAACTATTGGCAAAGATAGATGAGAGTCAAAATACTGCCATGTGGAAGGGAACATCAGGCATGACCAAGAAGCAGCCACCCTACTCCCTGTCTCTACTTATTTATCTATTCCCCACTAGTCTTGTTGATTCTGCCTGTAACCACACAACAGAAGCAGGAGAGCAGCTCCATGTAGTTGTGCTGTTGCCTGAGGAATACCTCAAAACAACAGCCACTTTCCTTGGAATCTCTTAGAGCTGCTAGTGGTTTTTTTATTAAGACACCCCAAAGGCAGCATGCCAAAACTATAGAGATATTTTTTCTGTTATATTTCCAAGGAAATTTTTAAATGCAATAAGTCACAATACTTACAAGTTAAAGTCCAAAATGAATTCATCTTTCCTTATGATGTAGAAATTAAATAAAATTTAAGTGTTAGCCTCAGCTAGGGAGAGTCACAGTGCCTGGGTGAATTCGGAGTTCTTTTGGCAGCTGCTTTGCATCTCTTTGTGCAAAGTTCCCCCAGACTTCAGAAAAAGATTTAGTCTGCAGCAGCTTCTGGGACTCACACCTTTAACTGCAGTGAACTAAGCACAGACAAGCTTAGCAGTGCCCCTTGCTGGACCTACATGGTTGCCAATTCTCAACTAGTTCTCTTGCCTTTGCTGGATCTGGGCCCTATATTGTCCCTCAGGCTTGAACGGGCTCCCATCTTTTGAGGCCCTTCAACTTTGGTCAAGGACCATATGCTAGACAAATGGCTCCTGGCCTATAGTTACTGACACCATGAGTTCCAGAGCTCCACCTGGGTCTATGACTTAAAAGTTCTTTTCCAGGCTACAGCAGTCAATGGGGCACTGTAACAAGCTATCTGAAAAGCAGGCAGAATCTCTCACAAATATCCACAATCAAACACAGATGCACTCATTTCAAAAGTACCACCATGGGCCAAAGCCACTCTTCCGGGTCTTACCTTTAGGTGTATTTTGCATGGCAGAATGTAACTTCATGTCTGTTTTTCAAGTTTTATGACCCATGTACATAATGTTGGGGTCTCAAAATTGTTTCCCCCATCACTGTGAGGACCAATTCTGGCCCCTATAAAGCTTATGGCCTGGAAAGATCATCCTGAAAGTGGTTGCTTAGGTGAGGCAACTAACAAGGACAGGGAAGAAACTGTCTCACAGAGGGAAAATCCACAGCTGGACTCCAGAACTAGACAGACTTACAGTTACTAAGACAGATACTGTGTCTAGGCCAAAGCAGTTCCTGGAGACACAAAGGAATGCCTGCTCCTGGTGGGCAGCTGCCTCCAAGGGAAGAAAAGGATACCCAAGTCAGCCATGATATCCAATGAGAGAAATAGTGTTCTTGTACCCCCAACCTCCAGCTCCATCATAAAACATCGCATGGAGGAGTGAGAAACAGGGGAGGTGTCTGCTGCGTGCAGTGGCTCTTTCTTCATAAAATAAACCTCAGGACAGAGAAGCAGCCCCTTGAAAAATCCTATGGGCAGACATAGGGCACATATTATAATTTTGAGTTCCTATGAAAGTGAAAAAAAGTTTTAAAATATTAAAGAACAGTAGAGTCAATCTTAAAGAAGTAAATAGACCCCAGATTTAGAGTTTATGAGTTATTGAATGCTGCTTAATAGCTACTTGGGTGGCATGGATTCTCAGAACATGTGAATTACCACATAAAGCCTTGCACATCACCTGCCCCAGAAAGCCATGAGGAGAATGCAAAGAGATAATAAGTCCAGCACAAGCAGAATTCAGAAGTCATATTATTAGCTTTCAGTGCAGCTCTACTGAAATAGGTCTTTCTTATTCAGAGTGTTTTGTCTCCTCTACAGTAGGGGAGCCGTTCCACATCCAGATTCCTCTGTCTCTGACACACTATGATTGTACTGAACCCATTATCTCCCACTACCTCTAAATTTCTGGTACATTCTTATCAGCCTCAATAAAGGCTATTTGTATTAATTTTATTTTTAATATGCTATCTATACTAACTTAAAAAATCTTTGAAATGATTCGTTTCCTTTATCACTCATTTTAAGGTTAGCTTTTGTGTGCTGTGCTATTTCTACCTTGGCACCACATTGTCTCTACACTACTGGAAGTCTGGCTGCATTCCTTGCACTCCTATGCATCTCCACATAGCCTCTCCTAGCCCCAGAACTGGTAGCCTTTGCAGTGTGCTCAACCTCCATTCTCACATGCCACTCAAAGAAGTTGAGTGATTTACACATGGCCTCACAAGGCTGAGGGTCAAGCTGGCCAAGATCCTGGTTTACAGCACAGTGCTGGGCCCCACAGCAGGAGAAAGGAGCCTGCCTGGTTTAAATGCTTCCCCTTCCAGGGTGAGATAGGCTCCCATTCTGTCCTCATTCTGCATCTGCTTCAGTGCTCTAAATTGGGATGAATGGTGCTACCCTTCCTCCAATGCACACCATCCCCTGTAATGAGATGCTTCTGCCTTGTGACTACTTGGATGCTATAGCCAAAAACGTAACTCACCCTAGGAACCCAACTCAGCACCCAGACTGTGCTTTGTACAAAGCACCTTCTCATGTGCACCAACTGCTTTCTTCTGTTTCTCACCATCCCCACCTGCCCTGCCCTGCCCGCCCCACCCAAACCTTCCCTTTCTCTACCCTTTCTTCTTCCCTTTCCTCTCCTCTTTCCCTTCTGGCCTGTCACCCAGGTTCACACGGGTCCTGGGGAAAATGGCTCTGGGCCTGGTTCTGTGGGATCTCTGAGGCCCAACAGCAAGCCCTGAGCTCAGGAGAGAAGGCTGTGCTGGAACAGAAGCTGACCAGCATTGCGGAGGAACCACTTTGGAGAAACATCTGCAACATCAATGCCATCTTTCTGCTGGCCATCAACATCTTCTTCTGGGGCTATTTTGCTTGACTGCACAGACCTGGCTTTAGCTGAAATGACTAAATTCATTCCAATCCTGACCTCTCTCCTCTCTCTCCACACCACCCCCCAATGCGCAGTAATGTATTTGTAGCATGAGTCTAATGAGGAAGGCCTTCCATTTCTGTTGCTTCTCGAGCCATGGCTGTCAATTCCATAGGACTGAGGGACAAAGGGCAAAATTTCATTGAGATGACAGATAGTATTGGGAGAAGAGAGTCCTTAGACCAGGGACACTCCTGGGCACAGTTCTAATTCTTCTTCTACTCTCACACCCACTCCTGCACAAAGTCTCCCCAAGGAGTTTAGAGCCCAGCTGAAGAGACAAGACTAATTGAAAGCAACAAGAACCTAAACATTTACAGCTCTGTAGTGAGCAGCAAGGACAGCCTGGGGGCAGGTGCTCCAGGGCCTCTGCCTCTCTGCCTTTGCCTGCCAAGACTCCTGCCCTGTAATACATTGTGACTGAGGTTGGTTTATGTAGCCCTTCCCTGCAAGCTTTCCAAATACCCCAACCTAGGTCAAGGTCCCCACTCCTGCTCCTACAACACAGGGACTGTCTCCTTGTGGCCCTGAGTACACTGCTCTGTAATGCTGTCTCCCTCCTAGATAGTGTATGCCTAAGGACAGGGATCAAAGGTTATGTCCAACATGGCTTTGTACCCATCAATAAAAGATGCTAATAAATGCTTGTGGAATTAATAAATTCTCCAGGCCCTATGGACTTTGTACCACAAACAAAGACAAGGGAAGTTGACCGTCAGAGAGGAGATTTCTGGAGCTAGCAGAAACAGCTGAGTCTCAGGTATCTGACTGGTTCAGACACAGCTGAGAGTGGCCCTTCCTTCATGGACTTGTAGGCACAGTTGCATCTCTGAAATGACGTCTTATTGCTACCTCTAAATTTTTGTTTCCACTGACCTGACCTCACTTTGTCTCATCTCAAATGACTGCTTGTTCTGTCTTTCTTCGTGGACCCTGACTGAGAATTTAGGCTTCCCCCTGAATCCCCCCCAGAAAATTCATGCACCCTCAGAAATAAAATCTAAATTTAAGTGCTAACCCTCCTTTATTTTTCTTTGAAAAGGGATCTCATGTTGCTTAGTCTGGCCTTGAACCTGCTATGTACCTGAGGATGTGTTCGTGTGTGAATGCATGTTCATGTTCACGTCTTCATTTGAAGGCCAGAGTTTGGCACTGGTTGTCTTCCTCTATCACTTTCCACCTTATTTTTGAGACAGGGTCTCTCAGTAAACCTGAAGTTCATTGATTTGTTTAGATTAGTTGGCCAGTAAGCTTCAAGCTTCCATCTATCTCTGGGTCCCCAACACTAGGATTACAGGTGTACACAGCCATGCCTGGCTTTTTACATGGATGTGAAGGATCAAACTCATATCAAAGTTTCCACCACGAGTACTTTATCAATTGATCTCACCAGTCCTCCCTCCTGATTTCAAATGTTCTTCCTTCACAGCCTGCTATGAAAACTCACCTTATTCTCCAACCTCCTGCATCATTTGCTTCCTACTTGAAGATTTACACACACACACACACACACACACACACACACACACATGCACACACACACTTTCTGTCTCCCTATTTCTCTATTTCAGCCTCACCCCCAGTGGTGCCCACTTAGTTGTGCTGAGCCTCTACTAGGCTCAACCCACCTCATCTAGCTCTAAGATTTACAAGCATAATTACTTTAGTGGGATGATGGGAAGGATGGCCATTCCTCCCCTCCTTTCCCTCCCTATATGCCTGGTTAGCGCGCGCGTGCGCTGTCTCCCTATTTCTCTATTTCAGCCCCACCCCCAGTGGTGCCCACTTAGTTGTGCTGAGCCTCTACTAGGCTCAACCCACCTCATCTAGCTCTAAGATTTACAAGCATAATTACTTTAGTGGGATGATGGGAAGGATGGCCATTCCTCCCCTCCTTCCCCTCCCTCTTTGCCTGGTTAATTCTTACTGGTTGTTCACATTTACAGTCAAAATTTATACCCTACAGTAGGAAATCATACTGTCCTAGTTGTGATCTTACTCCTTCTGCTTGCATCCCAGAGAAGAGAAATCCCCTGGGACTATCTGTAACAATATGTATTCCTATGTTCATTTTGTTCTTTCATTAATATGAATCTCCACCCCTAGATTGTGAGCTCCCTACTAAATCCCCATCACCTAGAAAGGTACCTTGAACTTAAATATATATATATATGAATAGAAAAGAAGTGAGGAAGGAAGGAAGGGAAGGAGGGAGGGATTCCTCAGCCAAGAAAATGAATTATGCAAAACACAGTAGAAAAAATGACATAATTACAAATAAAAAGAGTTGTTTT